CTGTGTTTTCTTTCTTTTCAACTCACAAATACATTTGAAAACAATTGCATATACTATTTAAAGGGAGCTTGATTCATGTTTTCATGGGGGGTGTCAATCATTGCTGAGATTTAAAAGAAATAAATACAAAATGGTAAAATGTTCAATTTATGCACAAATGCAGGCACTAAGAGGCAACAGGAACACAAAAGACCTACAATAGATAGGTCACATGGTGACATACTGGCACATTAAAAGACAAAACTAAGTACATTTTAGTGCAATAACTAAAATGTTAAATGAAGCTGAAGTGTTTGACATTTAATCATATGAATAATTCAAACAAACATTTTAGATAGACTGTGTTGGGAATAGCGGTCCCGAAGTACAACCTCAGTGCAACAAAAGAGCACCTATGAGCTTTCTTTGTTTTCAAATACATAAAAACTGTCCTAATGAGAAACCTCTTAACCCTCACAAAATTCTTAGCTGCAAAAGCAGAGTTCAGCTGAGCAACGGTGAATGTGTTAGAGCAAAAGAAACCATGTCCATAACGCTATGCCACAGTAGCACAGATGCATTTGTCTCAGCATTAGCAAAATGTATAATTTATTCCTCTCTCAGAAAACAGAAGAGCAATTATCATTCTCTGCTGCTGCTGATTTGTTGCCTTTTAAACTTGTTTACAGATACTAATGAAGCCTTGAGTAGCCGCTTGAGAATCCCCCAGTGAACTCCCATGAACAGAGTGGGACTCAATGCAAAAAGAATTCTTTTGTTGTGCACGTGTTGTGTGGTTTTTGCAGGTAGCCCTCGAGTCACAAACTGCCCGGAGCAGGCTTGTGGAAAAGCAAGAACAAGAAGGCCAAAGCATCATGCTGGACACACACACACACACACACACGCAGAGTCAAAAGATGACATGTTTGTGTTCCGGATTTCTGGGAAACAACTGTTTTTGTCTCGGAGAGAGAAACCCACAGACGCTAAATAAACAAGATAGACGTTTTACCAGTTATTTTTGTTCTTACCCTGGTTTATGCTTTGCTTTTCCACCTTCCACCTTATTTAATGTACAGTAATCTAACATGAGCCAACACAATACTGCATTTCTGAAATAACTGCAGTCTCTCTGAACTAATGAAAGCTTTAACAGGATTAGGGCACATGAACAGAAAAAATATGGCATAAATAAAAGAACAAAAGAAAAAAAAAACCAAAACCCCTGGGGCCCACTGATGGTTTGGGGGCCTATGCCATCACTTCCAGTGCATACAGCTAGAAATGGCCCTGTTGATGCAAGTGGTTTACACTCAGTTGTTTTCACTGACTGTTTTCTATATGTGACGAAAGAAATGCTCCTCCTTGTTCTTAAATGAATGGATCTAATGCTGGTTAATTAGATTCTTTATACTGTTCCAGATACTGTACATTTGATTAAAACAAACAATTTTGTCTTTATTCACATTAAATGAGACACATTTACATGTATACAGTAGACAGGGTTTTGCCTTTCTCTGTGAGAGCTCCTACTCAAGAATTCTGACTAACTCTGAAACCATAAATAGAGACTGAAGCTCAATCAGGCTTTGATTGAAGCACAATTATACACTATGCAAAAACAAATATAACTCTGATCATTTGCCAGTCTGATGATGATTAATCTTTTTAAAAAATGTGCATCTCATGTTATTCATGAACAGTCACATAGAAAATGTTGTGAAATTACTTACTCAAGTGTTTATACAGAGAACACAAGGTGCTACACTTTAACAGTGTTTTTAATGGTTCTCAGTCACAGTCACGTTTAAAGGCATCTCTCAGCTACTGTTAAAGTCAAACCCCAAAGCGGCTTCTGAGAGCTTAAGGTGGTACACTGGCAATAAATAAAGGCTGTTAAGAACGGCCCAACTATAGAGAGCTGTAACAATCCCCTATTTGTCCAGTAGGTGTCACCATAGTAACAAAGTTTAGTGGTACTATTCTCAGTGTGCATCAATGAAACCTAAGCAAGCTGTTCTTAAAATAGAGCAAAAAGAGAGGAATTATTTTTACTATTCAAAGGTCTAAAAAAATAAAAACAAAAAATAAAGATCTTTCCTGAGCTGCTGCTGATTGCTTTTGTGTTAAGGACTGAAGAATTTCCCCAGTCTAAGCTGTGTCGGTGAGTACCGAATTGAAAATAAGTCTTTAAAAATGCAAAGGCTGGTGCACAGGGAGAAGGGAACACACTGGCATATTTATACACTTTCATACTGTCCCAACACCTGTTTACACAGTAGAATAGCTCTGTACACGTGTTTGTAGAAGCACGTGTGTGAATATATATGTGGCTGAGGGGAACCCTTAAGTATCTAGGGTGTGTGTGAGAAGTGAGAGCCTCAGCCTTTGTGACTGACATCCCCCAGCCATGTAACCTTCACAGCTAAGCTGACTTTGAATCAAATCTGGTACCATGTGATTCACAGGCTGCTGAGGCCATATGATGTGTGAGAACACAGCTGTGGGATAAATGCTCTGTACCTAAGGTTTCTACTCATTACTTCCTGTGTTTCTCCCTCTCTTATTTGCAGAGGTTCTAAAGGAAAGGGCTCAGTAGTGGGGACAGAGAAGTGTTCAGAATTGTGCGTGTTGTAGAAACAAGCAGATTAAAGGGTTGTGTGTGAGAGAGGCCATGAATGTGTGTGCCTCTCTTCACATTGGTTTAGAATGTAGTTGACATAAGACAAAAATAGATACAATGTTTTTCTCCACTTAAAACAGTAAATGAAATTTAGTTCTGACTTAATATTTTGTGTGCGTGAGGGAGGGAGACTAACAATCCAATTGTGTAATGTATGTGTACTCTTAAAGTATGGCACATACTGTATACATAAAACCATAAAGCTTTCCCATCCATCCATCCAGTATCTGTACTGCTTATCGTGACCAGCTGGAGCCAATCCTGGATGAGACTGGGTGAGAGGCAGGGTCCACCCTGAACAGGTCGCCAGTCCATCACAGGGCTGACATGTAGAAAAACAAATACACACACACACTCAAACTCACTCCTACGGGCAATTTAGAGTCACCAGTCAACCTAAGCCACATGTCTTTGGACTGTGGGAGGAAGCTGGAGTATCTGGAGAGAACCCACGCAGGCCTAGGGAGAACATGCAGACTCCACACAGAAACCAACACTGGCTACTGAATTTTTTGTATAATTGATAGTACAATGTTACAAGTACTGCTATGATTTCAGTGCTACCATTCCGCATGTGTTTCCTGATCCATTGTGACTTGTAAGCACCAGGCAGCTTACACCACACCATAATTCCAACAGACTACAAATGTGAATTCTGACCTCCTGCCCGTGCTGCCACTTTGGTGCCAAGTTATCACATAGAGCTTCAGGAGTGTATCTGTGTGTGCCAGCAGGAGAGCGAGTGTTTCATCATACACATGCCTGTATTATGCCTGTGCCCCTGTGCAACTATGTGCCTGTATGCATTTGGCTGCATGTGCCAGTCTGCAAAGCAGTGGGGGATTTTATCACTCTGACACCTGGTAATGGAACTGAACAGAAAAATGACAGATTCATGAATTGGAAATAACACATGGTATATCATTTAAGCTGTTCTATAGATCATTGTGCTAACACAAACATGCAAGGAAAATACATCATAAGAACACAGGCCAAATTATAATGACGTATATGCTGCAATAAAGCCATTAATTAATATTTGTGCTTACAAAACAGACTCCATACACAGCATAACCACCTATAAGACTAAACAAAAGAATGAAGGTAGAACTGATGAGCATGCAGAGAAAAAAACTGGAGCCTTGAAAACAATATCAGTAGTAAAGTTAATACATGGTTTAAAGTTAATATAAACAGTGAAGAGATATTTCTATAGGGTGATCCTTCAATTAAAAAAGAAAAAAAAGACTATTGCGAGTCCAGGCTACTGCCTATTTTTATTTTGTACTGATGTCACCTTGTGGTACTATTGGAGGAATAGAAGTATTATTGTTTTTCTTCCTATTTACCAAGCAAAGAAAGTCTATGAAACCC